GCCCGATCATCTTCCTAATCTACGTGGATGCATCCTGCATCCTCCATCGCCTCCTCCCATAGTATACATTCGATCGGGCGGCCCCTTCATTGTCAGCTGGCCCGATCGGTAAGTTTTTTTTTTTTAAAGATATACACAGCGAGTATCATCACGCGAGCTTTAGATCCGGAAAAGAAGAAGAAAAAGAAAGAGGCGGTGGTGGAGATGATTATAGGAAGTAATCAATCTCCGGATTGAGAGGGGGAGGAAGAGGAGGAAGAAACGCCGTGAGCGCGGCCAAGTTGGCCGGCACTTCCACTTCATTGAAGTGGTGTTGGACAAAGGAGGGGTAAAGGAAAGCCTCCGGCACTTGCGAGAGGACCCGTGGCGCGAGATCGGCGATCGCTCGAATGATTCGTCGTCGCAGCGGCCGATTTCGCGAACCCGTCAGCACTAGATGGGTCTCCGTGTACGGCCTCTGCTCCCGCTTAACCGCCGCGAAGACCAGGATATGGTACATAATACTGGGCCGCCCGCCGGTCTCGTAGATGAGTGTGCCCACCAACCTCGCCGCTATACATCCATTGAATGGAACTTGCAAGAACGCCTCCCATGCCGGATCGGGACGTGGCGCCCCTTTGATGGCCTCAAACCGGAGGGTGGCCAGTTCCACCATGTGATCCACGTCGGTTTGATGGACTGTCCGGCTCGGGGGAACTGCTAATGACAATGACCGGGGTATCCCGGGCGGGCTGGCGAAATCGGAACGGTCCTGCAAGGAGGGGGGCTCTGGATGCGGGATATGGAACTCGTCCCAATCCCCCCCTTGCGCTTGATTGCCCGGCTGCATGGCTGTTGAGATCGGGGCCGCTGAGGTGTCGACTCCGGATGGCCTGTGGATCTCCGCGGCTCTTCGGCAGGGCGGTCCTCCCCCGGTCGGGGCCCGATGACGAGTGTGGCTCTTCTCTCGCGAACCGGATTGACTTCGCGCACCGGCGCAGGCTTGACGACCTCCTCGACAGGCCCCACTCGACTGACCTGAGCTTCCGGCAATGGACTTCGTCGCCGCTTCGGGACGGTTCTCTCTCTTGGTGCCTTCAAGGCCACCGGCTTTGGATACGATGATGGAGGACGCAGCGGCTTATCTTTGTGCCCGAAGTCCACCACGGACTCCCCTTCACGCGCCAGATAGTCAGGTATCACCGCCGTGTTATACGATCTGCACGGAGCTGAGGCGGTCTGTAGTCTGAGCTGCAAGTCTTCTTCTTCCGCGGCGATTACCTGCGCAATGGACAACAACTCGATGTGAATGAGTTGTAAGAGCCCCGGGCGATTCGTTCCGATCCTCCCAAAAGGATAAAGCGCCACTGTTCCCTCCTTCCGCTCCGGCTTCGGCTTAGCGATCATGTAGTACACGTGGAGGATTTCGCCGACATTGTGAACTTCGTGCTCCACGAAGAATGTGAACATGCCCAGCACCACCGATGAATACAGCGCCCGATGCAGCTCCCACGCGTCCTCGTCARCGGGCGGCAACTGCTCCACGTCCGTCAGCTCCACTAGGTACTCGGGAAAGTTGCGCATAGGATAGGGGAGCTGCGTCAGTTGATAAGGGAGGGTAGTGTAAGAGAAGAAGGGAGGCATTTAGAGAGAAGGGGGAGGGACAGCTTGGATGTTGAGGGGCTCGGCGGGAGAAAGGAGCGCGGGAAGCTGCGACACCAATGCAAGTGCTCCCTCCGGAGTCCGCCGCAGAAGTCCCTCGTATGCAGTGAAGCGATGAGTGCCTTGAGCCTGCACTCGCGCCACCTATCTCCTCACCTGAAGGGCGTACTCGCGCAAGAATCTATACGCCGGCTCCCGATCGTGCCCGGGCAAGACGGTCAAATCCTCGGTGAGAATAGCCACGCTGTGCACAAAGTTCGTCACCACCTGGACGGCTCGGGACTCGATGAACACTCGCGTGGATTCCTGGCCTGGCACGGGCGATATGTCCACATAGACACCCGCGTACGTCACCCGCTGCGCGAGGAGCGAGTACACCGCCAAGTCGGCAACGCTGGGTGCCGTCATGTTCACCTGCTGAATGTCGAAGCGCAGCTGCCGATCGTCGTTGAACCGGTTCCGGAGAAGAGCGTCCGAGATGGGCGGCTGGAAGTGCTCGAGCAGTTCATGCTCCTGTTGGCGATGGTTCATCCTGCGAGGCAAGGTCTTCCGCGGATGCCGACGACGCCGATCGGAGAGAAGGGGAAGAAGGAGGCGAGGACGAAGGAGCACGAGAGGGGGACGAAGAAGGTGATTCGGGCAGGACAGGTGGCCGCACGAGATCTAGCGATGGCCGGAAAGGCTGGAGGGCAGCAGTGTGGCTCAACAGCGGGCGGCCTTGCGAGTTGTGCCTGGGGACCAGCTTCACGGAGTGCTGGCCTCGTGCGCCAACTTCCGACACTTCGTAAATGCCTGTGTAGCGTGGGTGGACTTTGGAGGAGCGCGCGGATTTCCGTACCTGCACCAAGTCCTCTATTTTATAGCGAGGCAGTGGTCCCGCCGATGCGTGTCGATTCTCGTAGTCACGGATCTGCCGTTGATGTGTCCGATCTACGGCCCGCTGTCGACGGCGAGCTAACGGGGGATAGGCCCTAGCCATTAAGTCCATGTAGTGGCGGGCCTTATCTCGGTTCTGGGCCCGTGTTGCTCTAACTTCCGTACCTACTAAGGGGGACAATTGCACCCGAGGGACACCTTTGGTTCTCAGTTGGAAGGGGGACACCCTGGTACTACCGTGCGGGGTGGCCCGATAAACGGCCAAGATGTGATCGATAATGACCGGCCAGGGCCGGGTGTCTCCCGCAGTGATATTTCGTCTAAGGGCGGTCTTAATCAGTTGGTTGGCATTCTCTACCAGGCCATTGGCTTGAGGTCAATGGCCCGACGAGTAGATAATCTTAACGTCCGCCCTGACTAGGTGACGTTCTACTTCGCCTTGAAATTCCGACCCATTGTCCATGTGTACCTCTTCCACGTCTAGATGCATGCACAAAAATCGATTTACGTACCAGGTTACCTCCTGCGAATTCCGGCTGGTCATAGGGTACGCCTCGATCCATTTTGAAAAATGATCGACGACTACTAAAAGAACATTGAGTTCTCCCTGATCAACGGGACCTCTCGGAACGTTGATATCCGTCGTATCGATGCTAACCCTCTGAAAGGGGCGTTCTACACGAGTGGGTACCATCGTCCGAGGCATCTGTACCGGCGCCTTGTCCGCCACGCAGTCCGGACAATTTTGAACGATGTATTTCACATCTTCCCGGATTCCCGATCAGTACCATCCGTTCTTTTCTATGGCTTTTTCCGTGTACTTGACCGCGAAATGGACCGCATCCTCTTCATGAGCGGCTCGTGTCCAATCGAACCTAGCGAGAGGGTGTGGAACCGTCAACCAGCTAGACCCTCCGTCATCATCGACTTTTCGTTTTTGTAACGTCGGTTCCCGCCAACAATAGTCTTGCACCCACTCCGTAACTCTCCGCCTCTCGGCTTTAGTAAGTTCTGACAGCGAGTCGCCTGACAGCCTCCGTAGCAATAGAAGGTCCGTCCAGGCTTCTGCCCGACGAGCACTTGACGCAAATCCGTCGGCTGTTCTGGCGTCCAGATACCGCTTCTCGGTAGGGAGTTGGTCCGTTCTACAGTTGGGACATACCTATGTCTTTTCACTTCGGTACCTAACGCACTGTCTGTGAGATTTGACCGTATGACACCGACTACACTGTACCCATAAAAGAAAACTGGGCCCTCCCCGATGTGACCCTTCTTGGTCCGGGACCATAGGCAAAGTACAGAAGAAACAGGGACTTAGATGCGTTTCAGGGGACGAGTAGGGACTAGATGAGAGAGCGAGGGAATTGGATGAGGGCAAAGAGATCGCGTCTGCCATCTCCGGTGAAACCTCCATTCCGGACTCAGGCGTCGTTCTTACGCAGCATGTGTAGCTCTCCGTAGTGCGGTTTCGTCGCCACGACTTCTGGCCTCCACGGAATGAGTGGCTCGTTGGCGGGGCACTTGTTGGGCGGCAGGAGGCGTGTTAATCCATCGGCGTTACCATGATGCCGCGTGGCACGGTGGCGGATGTCGAAGTCATAGTCTTGCAGACGCACCGCCCACCTGCCCAGCGTCCCCGTGTAGTCCGTGTTGTTGCGTAGAGACAGCAGCGGCTGGTGATCCGTTACCAGCACGAATTTCTGGCCATAAAGATACGGTCGAAAATGCTGGATCCCCCACACCACCGCCAGACATTCACCTTTGCACGCTTCGTAATTAGCCTGCGCCTGGCTCAGTGTCTTGGACGCATACTCAATGACGTGTTTACTTCCATCCGCCCTGTGCTG